CGCGCTGTTTTCGGGTTGCCTATGTGAATATAAGCAATCCTGTCGGCCGAAAGTGCATCGACAGGCAGCACCAGGTCACCACGGGAAAGGACAATGAACTCATTCGGGTGAAGCATACACAAGAAGCCTAGCAGTGTAACTGCAGCCCAGTCCGCCCAGCCCCACAGCAGCGCCAGGCTGAGGGCTGCAAGCAGGACCGGTCGAGAAATGACAGGTCTGCACGAACCGGGTTCTGCAAGCTGCCACTTCTTATCAATCTGCCATGCAGGAGTCAGATGGGAACGGAACTCTGGACAGAGGTCCTGCACCGCAGTGATAGCATACACCAACAGGTAGCGGGGGAAGCCACCTTCGAAAAGTGCAAGGCCATACGCTCGCAGGGCAAGCGCAGCACTGCGTTGCGAACTAAGGACCTGCTGAAGAGACAAACCAAACTCATCCAACAGCCAGCACCTGAAAGCCTCGAGACTCTTAGTCATCTTCTGACGAGTGGACGCAGCAAAGCCGGACTGCAAGTCGAGGGGGCCACGAGCCGGGCGAGCAGGTGCGCAGGCGTGCCTCCCTGGCGGAAGCGAGGCGCCACGGGCTGCAGCAGCAGGGGCTTGCGTTGCAGAACTGGTGGAGCTCGCAGATCCCGACAGAGCGGCGGCACGCGCAGATTGCACCGACACCTGAGGTTGAGGCTGGCGTGGCAGTCTAGCGCTGCGACGACCGGTGGCCCCAAACACGCCAGTAGCTGGTCCTGGGTTTCGCTCAATGTCGCCTCCAAGGAGCAACAACAAACGCAACCAGCGTGAGGCGAGTTTGGGGACACCTTGTGAGGCCAGGTACACGTCGAAGAGACTGTAGTCGCGTCGGCAGAGAGCCTCGTACCAGACGGGCAGGGCCTTCGTAGGAGCTTCGGGAGGTCTGTCGCGGGAAGGTCCATCAGCGCGGTTCTTGCTGGAGTAGATGTGCAGCCCTCCTGTGTACAAGCCGCCCCCTAGCACGAAGGGGAGCTCAGTGCGCTGCACGTGGCTCAGGGCGGCACTGCTGGAGCGCCCCTTTGCGCTAGCACCTAAAAGAACCCTACTATCAATGAGACCCACAGTCCTAGACCTACGAAAGAAGCGGCACAAATGTTTCAACCAGGTCTTGCGCGCCCTGGCCTCTTGGATGTTAATGTGCCCCTGCCGAATGAAGCGGTACCTCACAATCTCCTCGAAGGGGAGGGAGTCGGCTAGTTCGCCAACCCACTCCGGATCGTCGAAGAAGGCTCTGCTAGTCGGCCCAACAGCTAGAGATTCGTCAGATTCGCCATTGTGCGACGGCACAATCCAACCGAACTCTTCTAGACAGGCACACTTAATTGACAAGGGGATGATCTCAAGCGCTCCACGCTTGGCTTGAAGGCTTCCGGCTGCCATCTGTTGGACTAAAGGCAGAGGGTAGGTTCCAGAAAAACTTGCAACAGAGGCACCGACTTTAGGTTCAACCCCGAAAACGGCGGCAACCGAGGGCCTACAGCGGGACCTAAAAACCGAAAGGAAAGCGGGCGAGAAAGAACCCTGAACCAGTAAGTGCTTACCTTTGTGGGGGCACGAGCAGGAGCCAGCAAGCTTAAGCAACCAGGGCTTGTTGTGTAACCACTGCATAGGTTTCATGAAGGGCGAACCAAAAGAGCAGCTGCAAAAGCGCGTCACTACGGCTCCGGCCAAAATAAGAACCTGAAAGCAGTGAAGGTAAAACATCACACTGGAACCCGGTTGCTCAATGCTGAAGAAACCCCCCATTCGCAGGATCAGACTGCAAAGGAAGGCGGTGCGCCTGGCCAACCTGTTGTGTTCAGCAGTCAGAGGTGCAGAGCTACTGAAACCGTCCGGCCTGGTCTTGCTGCGCAAACGTGGGCGCCGAAGTGTTCCAAATGTACGGCAGGGCGGCCCAAAATGAAACTCACCAACGACACGCCGAAGCACGAGCGCAAGCACCTCCTGGAACACAGTCTTGTCTCCCAGATCCGAGCTGAAAGGCGGAGGTTCCGCAATGTCGATGCCCGGGTGCGCAGACATGCCAAGCTGCACATGGGCACGCGTCCAAACTTTGGAACCCGAGAACACCTCAAGCACATCAAAGAGAATGCCTTCCTGAAGGGGCCTAGGAAAAAGCGTCTCAGCACAAAACCCAAGCTTAGGCATCTCAGAGGGCGCCGTAGGTTCCAGGCCTTGTTCACGCAGCAGAGCGGCCGCAGGAGACTCAAGCTTCGAGTAATAACCTTTCTGCTCGGTGTGCCGCCACAGCTCAGCAATCACATGCTGTGGGACCGGAGCGCGGCAGATGCCTGCTCCACTTGGCGAGGCGTCCATCGCGTACAAGAAAGGTGTGTACTCAACACGCAAGTCGGCCTGCAGCACAGGGCCCAAAACAACCAAGGCAGCAAGTTCGTTAAGGGTCTGCCGTGAGAGCGGGAATACAGCATCGCGGGGCAGGTGCCCGGCATCGACGAAGGCAGCGCTGAGGATACAGAGCGCTGGCCGACGAAACATCAAGACGTGGATCCACAATCCAATGATCGATGCAAGTAACGCGCTCGTCGCGGTGCCTCGAAAAACAAGCTGGCAGGTCAAGTACATCAAGACTCCTGTGCGGTGGCGGGGGGCCCCCACAAGCCCGACTTCGCCGTCAACCTCCGCACCAAGGAAAACGCCTTGGAGAAGATTTCGCTTTCTCTTTTTCTCATGTTGCACCAATTGAACATCACGATAGGCTTTCTCGGCTTGCTCGAAGATCTCTGTATCACGCGCACGTGTTCCTGCACGAAACTCGTTTCGGGTGAGCTTCTGAGCAACAACATGATCATCTACTGCCAGCAGCTCTGCAGTGTCACCCCTAGGGAACGGCTTGCGGTAGGCAACCGTCTCCTCCGCTCTCATGCTTCCACCCAAGAACCGCAACACATTGTGATGAGATTGTTGTGCGATCTCGACCGCACAACAATCCCCCATCGCTAGTGTAGCAAGCGCAAGATACACAGGAGCATCATGCAAAACTGGATCATAACACGATAGATGTTGCACTTCTTGGGGTTTAAATTTAAACCGGATGCAGTTGCGGGCTGCTCTAGCAGGGGTCACAGCGAACGTATAGTAAAATTCCGTTAGATCATCAGCCGAAATTCTGAGGACTTGCTGGTCGTTGAGTTGAACAAGGGTCAGAAGACATCCAGGTGCAAGACCGCGCGTGTAGTTCGAGTAAGGTTGGGTCCGAGAATTAACTACAGTGGGATTAATAATCAACCTATCCCACATGCGATCTTTAGGGATGGCGAATAATCCTACAGCTTCTTTGGGGTCAACCTGAGAACACTTGACAAGTTGGAGGGCTCCCACATGATCCCACTTAGCCGCTAAAGCCAAAAGTTCACCCTTTGAGCAATGCACCTGAGCTGCGCGAGCCGGTGGCCAGGCATCCTGAGGCAGGCGTAGGGAGTTTGGGTTGTGGTACGCCGCTCGCACTATTGGGTCGCTCAAATATGGAGTGGGATCGAATTGGGGAGCTTGCTCCCACTTGATTCTTGACGCTTTGACCTCTTTGTACTGAACCGAACCCCCTAGCTTAACGTGCCCTAGGCAAGTGGGGTTTGGGTTGGGCAAAGGCGCATTTGTAGGGGACCTAGATCGGGCCTCGAGTGGCAAAATGCCAAGTGCCGGATCGGCTCTCTCGTGGGAACTTACAGGTGGCGCTTCAGATCCACGATGAGAGAATGCAGAGTCTGGTGTATTACGCGGCTTAGGTCCCGAGCCACGCGAATAAGGATCAAACTCGGCAGCCAATGCATCAACTAATTCGGTGAGGTCCACATTCGAGCATGGCACAACATGACACGGCAGTTCCTGCGCAGCATGCAAAAGAGCTGCAAACTTTTCCTCGCAACGACCTAGAGCGGCACCTGTGAGCGGCGCGGCTCCGAGGAAGTGGCACACGTGACGGCTGAGAATGCTCTGCATGTCAAGCTGGTCCGGGGACAAAGGGCCGTCAACACAAGCTGCCCTCGGAGGCGTTTTAGGACAACCCAAGGCAAACCAATTAAGAGTTGCAACGATCCAGGAAAGGAGCTTGGCATGAAGTGCTAGCATGCGTTTGCGCTTCCGTCTGCGGGGGCTAAGCTTGCAGGGGCCTGTCCATCGCCACCGCGGCGGGGGACAAGGCCACAGGATGCCTCGTTCGAAAGAAGCGGGCTGACTGGTGCAGGCGGGTGCGGCTAAGGAAAGGGCGACGAACTGTGCAAGCCCAACCCTAGAGCAACCTAAAAGGCGAAAACAACATTCAACCCAGACCTTAAAGTCTAGGGGGTTCTCGGGCAAAGGCTGATGAACGGGGTCAAGACTCGAGGGCACATCCTGGTGACCATCAAGATTCGCCGGTGACTGCGTTCGAGCCTCGGCTGCTGGCATCGAATTAGAAAACTCAAAAGGGGACCCAAGAGATCCCGGCGCCACGTGCTCCGCACAGGCAGCCTTAAACAACTCGTGGTTCATATGCGACGCGGCTTTCACTTCGCGTCCTCGATTGCCCCTCGGGGCTTCCGCGGTGGCCGCCGGGGCCTCACTGGTGCACTCGCTGCTGCTGGGTCCTCTGCCTCCTCGCCGGTCGCCGTGTGTGTCGGCCCCCCACGCGTTCCGGTTTTCATCCGGCCCTCTAAGAACTCTATGTCTCGGAGGTAGGCCACCTGGGCTGCGATCCACGTGCTCTGGCACAGCCTCGCATAAGGGCGAAGGTCCGAGCGGCGATGTTGCAGCAGCGAGGTGTCTGGGTCGGGAAGACCCCCAAGCAGCCAAGCCATTTGCGACCGGCCGTTGTCGATCGCCCACTGCTCCACCATAACCAGACCCCTTGCCGCCCAAAACTCGGCCAGCTCGTCTCCCTGGGACCGGGCGTCCTCCCACATGTGAGCAAAGAAAAAGCCCATCAGTGTCAGCGTCTTCAGCTCCCGGATTGGCACCTTCCTTTCCATGAACTGCCGCATCATTCCAGGAGTCTGGCTCGCCAACCCGAGCTCCGTCTGCGCCCTGGCCGCGACCGCCTGAGCGAATTCCTTCAGCACACGAAGGTAAGCATCCCTGGCCGCGACACCGCGGGCCCCTGTGACGCTGCTGCCTCCTTCGCTGCCCGAGCCGCCTGAACCCTGCAAGGCATGTGCGATCGGATCCGAAGGCGGCGTTCTGGCGGCAGCAAGTTGAGCGAGAACTTGCGTCTGGGTCGCCAGGAAACGCATCATCGCGGCTTGGGCCGGGTCTGCTGGTGCATCGTCTTGCGCTAAGGCCTCCAGCTCGATCTCCGCCAGGTCGTCGTTCTCGGCTTGGGCACCTGCCTCCCGAGGTTGCCTCTCGTGCTGGGCCAAGCGATGTGGTTGAGGGCCGGCTGCTTCTTGTAGCCGCTTCCAATCCTGAGCCGTCAGATCGGGGGAGCCGCCAGCCAGGCCATCGAATAAAGACCGAGGGCCGCGAGTCAAGGGCGCACGTTCGGCCGACGCAGTCGTCTGGGCCTTCGCCATCCTCCCTCGGCTCTGCTGCGCCTCCAGCTCCAGGATCCGCGCCTGCAGCTGAGAAACCACATCGTCCTGTGCCGCTTCCTCGTCGTCTTCGGGAGTGTCCCTGCCAGACCCAACCTGGCTGGCGGCTGTCACATACTCGCCGAGTGCCGGGTCGTCCACCACTTCTGCAATCCAGCGGTCCGCGAGCTCCAGTGCTGCACTGCGAATCGGGCGCACCACCTGCGAGTCCTTGCGAATAGCGAGCAGTTCGAAACTTCCCCGGCCGCTCTTGCGAAAGTAAGACAGGGCCCCCCAAGGGGCGTCGACCAGGTAAATCTCCTTGCTGCCCGCGACGCGTCGCCTCACAGTCTCGACCTCCACCTCGGCCGGCTTGTAGAGCATGGCTTCGGAACCGTCCGGGGAAGCAGCGGCTGCAGCTAGGACCTCGGTCATGCGATCCTCCACATCGCAGATAAACATAAATCCTCCGGGCCGGACTCTGAGCACGAAAGCCACGGCCCGCCAGCTCGGGACCTCGCTGCCATCGGTCAGGTGACAAAGTCCCAACGGGCGGTCTGGGTCGCTGGCCTCCCCCAGCCGCCGCACCTCGGTAGCACTTAGATAGCGGCCGCCATGGCCGACCGCTGCGCCCGCCAAGCGTGAGCTTGTAAGTGGCGAAGCTCTGCGTGACGAAGCCGTTGGGGTAAGCAGCACACCGCAGGCAGATATACCAACAGTTGCGCACTCGAATGGGCGGCGACTTGTCTACCACCCTGATCGGCCCCACCAAGGCCCGACCTGCACTGAAGCCAGCTCGCAAAGCCCTTGCCACACGACCGTTCGCAGTCCAGGGAAAGGAATCAGAGAGCGAGTCTCGGAAATGCTCAAAACTCCCAAGGTCTACCTCGTTCAGCTCCTGGGCTGTCTCAAGATGCTGCAGGCGGTTTGCAAGCTCGGTCACCACGCCAGCTGCGAGCGGGAGCTCGCCAGCAAGGGGTCCAGTAGGTTGGGGCCCGAAGTCGGACGCACTCGCCGGCACGTCAGCCGCACTTGGTGCTGGCTCTGTTGCCGTAGCAGAGCTAACCAACGAAAAGGAAGCTGAGGAAGCAGGCGCTGTAGGGCCTGAGTCGTCTGCTCGAATGGTAATGTTCAGGCCTCTGAGCCGCACGGTGACCTCCTCAAGTTCGTCACCTCCAGAGCTCATGCACGATATTCCCGAAGCCGGTTTGCCACAGTCTGTGCTGGAGCCGTGGGAAGCGGATCCAAATAAGCAGCAAGCAGCCTAATACAGGTGGATGTGATGCGCCGAGCTTGGGAAGATAAAGCTAATGCGGTGCAGATTGTTCCACAGCAGCAGCCGCAGCAGAAGAGTAAAAGCCCGCAGAGGATGAAGAACGATGGGCCCCAAGTTGAGGAAGGTAGTGCCCAGGCCCGCAATTCACGAAGGAGATCTGACACAACTAGGGGCCACATGAACCAAAAAGCTTGAAACGGTCGAACAATGGCTTGGGAGTACGCGATACTGGCATACCCGAGCCGCTGCCAAGTACCCCTGAGGAAGTACAAAACAGCAGACCATGGTAGTCCATCGTCCGTTGGGAAATTTCTGAAGCCAGTCGTGTTTGCAAGACTTCAAACAAGCACCATGACCTTGACAAAGCCTTCACATCAGAATCTAAGACCATGGTGGTGCCTTTGCAGGAATGGCTCGTGATTGCCAGGAAGAAACTGGACGTTTCACAATCTTCACCAAGCTCTTCCTCAACTGCCCACTGGTTGTTGCTGAAAGAGCAAATCCAATAAGTGTTCATATCGGCCTCAGTCCAAGAATTGTGATGCCCAAGCGCATCTTTCAAGTCTCGAAAGGTGTTGCCCCAGAAATGACTGACAAACCAAATCACTTCTCTTGGTCCAATTAGCTCCGCATATGACAGTTTCCGTTGGCAGGTCAATGGTTGCAAGAGATTTCCCACCACGTAGTACATATTCCGATCCCGGATGTAGACCTGGAACTTCTCGTAGAACTGCAGCAAATGCTGAATGGAAATGGCCCGCCCGGCACCGCGGGGCACCCGCGAAGGCTGAGGATTCTCATGCTGGATCTGCTTTTGAAAGTCAACAATCCTGGGTTTTTCAAAGCCAAGAATGACATGGATTCTTGCTGGTGAAATTATCGATCATCAGTACATGACGGGCACAAACATACATAGAGATTATGTTACCGCATACTGCTATGTATGCATCATGCTCTCGTCGTGAGATATATATATATATATGTATATTATGCATATGTATGCGGCTTTATTATCTTTGCCTTGCGTGGCAGGCTATCCACCAACACCTCACAAAAAAACACGACAAATACACATCCAAGAGCCTGCGGTCCAAAGGGGTCAGAACCATCCAGCTGTGCCAAAATGCCTTCCCTAACGCCACCAAGGCAGATGCACCTAGCACGGCCACACTGTGGGTCCCATCCATATGGTCAATGGTGTAGATGGCAACAGCTGCACAAAGCAGCAGCCACCAAAATAAGCCAAAAGGCAGGAAGTAGCCGAAGCAAAAAGCAGCTCGGAAGCGGCAAATTTGCAGCCAGCCTCTAGAAGCATCCGCGCGTAACTTCAAGGCTTCGCCAGGGCCTGTCATGAGAACTAAACGGTTTGGATGAGATTCCACCGCTTTGGCCAAGAAACTGTTGTTATCCAAGGACGGATGGCACGTGCCTTTGCAAGTGACCTTGGGGTTCATCCATGGCTTGGCCAGGAGATAATCGGGCACTGCAGTGGTTATCACAACTGCCCCACCATCCAGAGAGATATCCTCCACTGGTATGGATTGACCAAGGATGAAAGGAAGGAGCAAGAGAAGGCACAGGAGAATGACACTGAACAATGAGATCTTCAGGATGTAAAAATGGTCCAGCATGCAAAAACCACCAACTTCCACATAAGCTGGATCACATTCTCCCGACTCGCAGGTTGTAAGGCCCTTCGCATCTGCTCCACCGAAAGTGGGTCCGTTGCACCAGCAGGAGCCATTCCCCTGCCTCCCCAGCCCACGGCTCTGAGCGAACACATCGTCATTGCAAACGCCCCTGGCAGAGCAGACCGAAGTACCAGTTGAACCGGCACAAGGATCACACCGAAAAAAGGCCCCTGCTGCGGAGAAGAAACCTTGTTCGCACGTGGAACAATCAGCTGAACCATATCCTCGTTGGCAGATGCACTCGCTGTTGCCCAAGTGGCACGTGCCGCGTAAAGTGCATGCAACGCTGGACATGCAGCCTCGTGACCACATCTTAACTTTCAAGGTTGTCAGCCGATCACCGCAGATGCTTCCAACAATGACATCTTGACGTCCATCACCATCCCAGTCAGCGACTCGAAATTTAGCAACATTAAAGCACATGTCCCTCACTTCTATTTTGGGCCATGGTATCAGACTTGAGTTGCCTTGTCTAATCCAAGGGGTGACTCGTGATTCATCACGGTTGTATGTCATCAAGTCCACCAAGCCATCATCATTCCAATCTGCAGCAGCAACCAGGCTTCCCAGCTTCTGGTCCTCAACAAATGTGAAGTTGCCGTTGGAGCTCAGAGCTAGACGGCCTGATTCCAACACCAGATCCAGGCCATCATTGCCATCCCAGTCCACCACGTCAACCAGATCATCGTAGTCTAAGTGAAGCAGCCAACTGGGCTCTGCAAAACTTTCATTTGGCAACTGCCTGGACAGAGACAGGACCTTAGACCGAGGATCTAGGCCCGGCCAATTGGTGTGGACACACAAGAAGTCCAGCCGGCCATCCATGTCCCAATCAGTGATAAATCTCAATCGCACATTGTAGTCATGTCCGTTCCAGTCGTTTTGTTTGAGGCATGGGCACGGAAGATGTCTGGGAGTTGTCGAGAGCTCTCCGCTCGGCAACCGAGCAAAGAAGTTCAAGTCAGCCTCTGCCTGAACCAGAAAGTCAAGCCCATTCTCGTTATCCCAGTCGACAATGAAAAAACTGGAGCCGTGGACTATGATCGGCAATGAGGCAAAAGGATTCAGACTGTCAGACCCGATCGCTTGCACATCCCTCAGATACAATTGACAAGTGTCGGCTGGGTATTTAGAAGCTCGCGCGCAACTGAGGATATCTGCATGTCCATCACCATCCCAATCACTGATTCGCACGACTGCAAAGAGACCACCAAGAAAACCTTCGCGTAGTGGTGGCGGGCTGTCAGAGCCAGACAAAGGTTGGAACCGGCCACTTTCCAAGCCCTTGAAGTGGGTGTTCTCTACGTCTGTGCTGATAACTAAGTCGAGCCTTCCATCTCCATCCCAGTCTGCAAACTCCGCTGAAGTGTATCGAGCGGTGGGAGAGGCTTCAGCCAGCAGCCTCTTTGGAGCAAGATCCCCTGAATCTAAACGTTCTAAGAGGTAAACAGCACCAGAAACGGCCAAGATCAAGTCTATGTCACCATCAGCGTCGAAGTCAACGGCCCTAGGAGCTTGACAGGTGTTGTACCCTGGAACGTAGGAGTGGGTCCCGGAATCCTCCGGACCAAAATCGATGAGCTCATCCCCTGCATCACCACAGGTCTTACCTTCATGCAGTCGCTGCCTTGGAAGCCAAACCAATCGGTAACTTTCATTTTTGTTATGGCAGCACATCACTCCGACTCCTGTTCCGTCCCAATCCACAAAGTCAACGAAGCCGGCTGGGACTTGCAAGCCATCAGGAGAGGAGGGACCAACCTCTCGAGCCAAACTCCCATCATCTTGGCGGCGAAAATAGCGAAGAGTTGCGGTGCTCTTGCTCAATGTCTGATCAGACGAGGGATCGGAAGAAAAATTGGTCTCTGCATGGATCAAGTCAAGAAGCCCATCGCCATTCCAGTCAATTGGATAGCGGAAGCCAAACGTTCCTGCGGGACCGAGGTCCTTTAGTTTTAGGGCTTGCCACTCTCCGCGACATTTGCTGCCTCCAACGTTGCACCACTTTTCTTCCGCCCAGAGGCCCTCGCAAAGTGGGAGGCCAAGGGCACAAGAAACAAAGGAGAGCAGCCATGGTTTTGACTGTCCCATAGCTGTGGGTTTTCACAGATTGCAATTGATGGTGTGTACGCCTAAGCCGCCCCGTAAAGCCTCTGTCATCTTGATATTGCCAAGGTGATTGGATGTAATTGGTCTTGGTCCTTGGTTTTTCTTCTTGCAAGAGCTGACCGATTTATCTGACTTCCAGACGCTGCAGAGGCATAAGCTTGCATAAGCGATATGCAGAATCCCCAAACAACTCAGTGCCAGGAGTTCAGCCACAGGAAAGTCCGTAGGGTAAGATTCTGTCAACCTTCACAGCTGGAGAGATTGACATGAATGAAGCTCTTGTTTCAGGACATCTTCCGCACCTGTCCGACTGGATTGAGTAACAATTTAGCAAAAAGAGGAAAGTTTGAACCCTTGACCCAGCCTTGAGACTGGAGGGGTGCCTTTCATCCGATCCTTTGCTGGGTAAAACGAATAAGAACCTAGCCCTTCTAGGGAGATTGCCTCATGTAAAAGTTTCAGCGGGGAGCTGTGATGTGCCTGTGGACCCCCAAAATCTTCTTAGCTTCGGGGGATATGGATATGGCCTGTAACTAAGGGGCCAAATCCTATTAACTACTTGCCAGGTTTGTGGCGCTACAGGTATTCCCTATCAAACCTGAACACCCAGCCTTCTAGTACACCAATAGTCCCCAAAAGCAGCACGGCGCGAGTCAGCGAAGGAGGTGGCCATCGATTTCGGACTCCGAGATCCGAAAAGTAGTAATCTGTAGCAGTAGTAGTATTGCATTGCCGACGTCTCGCACACGATCTGCGTCCGACGAGGGGACAGACTTTGTCCGGCAGCTCAAGGCTGCACTGCACTGTTGGCAGTTCCACCGCTCAGGAATTGGAAGCTAAAAGTCGCAAATAAAGATCCTAATCCATCTCATCCAAGAAAATCGTGAGAGTGCCAGCACTTGCAGTTCCAGCAGCTCCGATGCCACGGCTTGTGCCACTTCCTCTGCCACTGCCACTGCCATTACCATTCTCATTCCCATCTCCACCACTTGCTCCACCTTCGCCGCCTCCGCTGTCGGCCTCATGACAGCGCTGGAGAGGACCTTGTCTCCTAAGGCAGCTCTTTTTGTGCTCTTTTCCACCCGTGCCACGACAGGTGGAGCAGCAGTGGGAGTGCCCCTTCGAAACCAGAAAAAGACATCCTGGGGTAAAGCATCTCGAAACATGTACACGAAAGCTCTGCCTCTCCCTCCTGTCACATCTGCGACTGTGGGTTCCCGTTCCACAGCTGCTACAGCAACGGGAGCAGCCAACCTTCCACAGCCCGCTGTGCTGCAGACGGCCATGACCTTAGAGGGATCAGAGCAGGGCAGCAAGGTGACATGTCGATGTGATGCAGCACATTGCAGCACGCCAGGATTGCTGGCAGTTTCGCGCACGGTGGCTCGAACTTCGCACTGCTGGCGGATGCTTCTCAGAGAACTTGCAGAATCGAGCCGGCTGCTCTGTACAATGAAACACATTATGAGTGAAGTTGCAAACCGGGACGGGCAGAGAACCCTAGGTCTATGAACCATTCCGTAGCACTGCAGGCAGTAACGAGTCCTGCGCAATCGAGCCTCGTGACGTGCCACGCCTGTGTGGCAAAACAAACCCCAACGACTCCAGCCTTTCCTGGATTGAGCTGGAGATGCATTCCCATCTGTTGACAGTGTAGGCAGAGAGGACTACACGATCCATCTCCGACCATGCACAGGTGAGGTGATGACGACGATGTGCAAGGAAGCGAATGGCTTGTAACTGCAGCGAAAAGGAAGCACCTCTCAGCCAACCAGCATCACTCTCAATCATGTGAGTGCCCGAGGAATCTTCGATCCAGATCTCCCCTTGTTCATGCAAAGAGAGCGAGAACACCAGGCTCGGGTCAGGACCATTGTGATTATCACGATGGAGCGGGGTTTCGTAGTTGTATAAAATCGCTATAGTGGTCCATTTGTGCCAGGGGCAAATCCGCATGACCAGACCATTCAAAAGCCTTACAGCATTGGGGTGTGTCATCGTCTCCTTGCAGAGGCCTGTGAACTGGCGACAACCATAAACCCCTGCAGTCCAGCTCTGCTCTTTCCTCCAAAGCGCCGCAAAAGAGTGACGCGGAAGTTCCAACTTTAGCAATCTGACAACCTGCCTGGAGGAGTGCCACAATGTGCCGGCCCCAGAATCAAGCAAATGTTGTGCCAGGCGCTCCGCAGGCTTGCTGGTCGTCGGATCTTCCCATGATGGGTACGGCAAAGCTGCAGGGCTGTTGGTGACGAAGCTTCGGTCTAGGGCGGTTGCATATTCAAAGAGGACTTTCATTGTATCATCGCAAAACTTGTTCTGTGCCCAGGCTAAAAGGTCATTCCAGGCCAGCATGCCTAAATTTGCCGGCGGCGGGGTGCCTGTGTCCCGCTCACAGAGATTGACCACAGCTCTCAGCAGCAGATACGACATCAGAAAGTCATCATGAACATCCCTGGGCACTTGCACGACCTCTATCCCATCCTGAGACATTGGGAATCAAGCTGGCTGAGGGGAGCCTGAGTAGCAAAGGCAGGGCAAGACTGCAGCTCTCCAAGGCTCCTGCAATCGATGAGGGCAGGATTGGAGTGGCTAGCGGTGGCGTGCTGACAAAACTGGCTGCAGCAAAGAAACAAAGAGAAACACAAGTATTGCTGACTGCTTCGGATGAGAAGAATCGGATAGGCTTGCATGTATGAACTGTACAACTCGGAGTTTTCAGCTGTGATGGCGACACTTCTCTTCGGAGAGACGCCGGGCATGCAGAGAGCGGCCATGCACTGGGCACGACAGCCTCCTCTCCGCAAATGCTATGATCGGACAAGCCCTACCAGGTAGGCATTTTCCCTCAAGATTTTGAGGTCTCGGGCAGTCGCAGGCTTAGGGGTCTTCTTATCATTACAGATCACGAACGACCACCTAACAGGATCAGTGTTGGACTGTGGCATACTGAGCGCAGCCTGGTAGTGCCCGCTAGAAGTCTGCTCGCCTATATGAAACACCACAAAACCAACCTGGTAGGTCACATGTTGCACTTCAGTACTGTCATCTGCAGCGCAAAAGCGCGGCAGGTGTACAGACCCACCCGGCTCCAGCAGCACCGTGGTCCTATCCTTATGCCTATGATCTTG